TGTTTTTAAACAATTTATTTTAATCGTCTGTCATTTTGTTTTAAGAGATTTAGGATAACAAAAAATATGTAATGCTTAGTAGAAATGAACAACTGATCATGATCGCTTCTATTGTTACACACAGGTCTAACTGATGGGGGGGAAGTCAAGCAGACCTCCATACTCTGGAAAAACCAGGGTGATAATGTATCTATAGAATGCAGTCATACCTATGGCAGTAGCTATTTCCAAATGTACTGGTACAGACAGCTGCCTGGAGAACTAATGAAACAAATGGTTTTTACTACTGCAAACTCCCAACCTGACTTTGAACCAGACTTCAGGGATGAAAAATTCTCAACCATCAAGCGTGACGCTCACAGTGGGACACTGATAGTGAAGAATTTGGTGCCAGGAGATCAAGGCTTGTATTTCTGTGCTGTCAGTATGCACAGTGATACAGCCACACTCAACACTCGTACAAAAACTCCAGATCATAAACTGTAGGGGGATGTCAAGGACCACAAATACTCACAACTGAACGTGGATTCATCGTGTGAAAGGTGACACCACAGATAACAAGATGACAGAGCTCCACACAGAGCAGTGACACAACCACCTGCAACCCTTCATAGCAATATAAATTCATACTGTCATTTATTCGTGTTTCAAAGACTACTACAACACAGACATTATCAAACACGTTCACCTCTATTGTTTGATGCTTCTGCTATGGATGAGAGGTGACTTTGACTAAGGTCCCATCTAGAGCGTTCAGTATTTCAGGACCTTTTGCATTACTTGTTTTTTCTGCAAAAAACTAAAACAGTATAGGATAACAGCTCTTTGAGATTCATGCACTTCCACAACTTTGTGACAGCAGAAACCTGGCCATTTCTAATGTTTCTGTGACTGACAGTGCTGTGTATTTCTGTGCTGCTAGTCAGCACATAAATACAGATTCCACTGAAGTCAATACAAAAACCTCTTCTAATCTCTCTGACAGATTCATATCTGAACACCTGCTGCCAGTCTGCAACTAAATCTAGACTTTGAAAAAAAGAGACTGACTAATTGAACAAGTTTGATCCCCTTTGAAGTCACATTTCAGGCTCAATTAAATCCTTAAGATTTCTTTAATTGGTGAAAGCAGCAACAAATTAATTATGTTCACTGACAGAACACTGACATGCAATTCCTATAATCAAGCTGGACCAGTTTCCTTGTCAAGAATTGTCAGCCAGAGAAAATAAAAAAATAAAAAACAATCAAAAAAATACAACATGTTCTAAAATCCAGCTTCCTCAGTCATCATATGTTGTTGTTAATGGAAATCATGACCTGTAGGCAGACCAGCAGCATCACATATGCTTGCATCTACATCCGGAGTGACAATTTCATTGAGCAACACTCCCGCCTCCAACTCTTCATACAACTGTCTCAAACAGGTCATGCCAAACAGAACGTGGACATCTTCATCATGAGCAAACGACGTCGCCTCATATTTTTATTCTTATTGCTGTGGGTATCAGGTAATTCCCAATAAACTTTATAATACAAATTCAACTTAAACCATTTCATGTTTTTAAACAATTTATTTTAATC